AAGAATTCTGGATCATAAGAGAATTAGAAAAAAGTTAAATGGAAGTAATGATTCTTCTACTCATGGTTCTTCCAGCTTCTGTTTTGCACGAGGATAAACAACCTTCCTAAGGAGACAAAACTATTCATTTTTCCAAGCCCTCCTGACCCAGGATATGAGTTCTTCCTGCATACAACAGCATTCTTGTCCTCTACTCAAGATGGGAGAATTAAGTCTGTCTCTGGCTCTGTCTCTCTCCTCCCAGCCACAGCTGGGAGGCCTGGCTGGCATTCTTGAGCCTCTGTTCAGCCCTGCCCTCCCAATCCCTTATCTTGTCCAGGAGGGCCATAAAAGTCAGCATGTGACAGGCTGGCTTCACCAAAAGCCACACATATGAGAAAGGTGACAAGGTACGGGATTCCTCCACAAACTAACAATGCAGTTTTTACTAAATCTTTTTTTGTCAAAATCAATGATAGGAACACTGCCAGGGGGAAAAGTCAAGTCCAGCGTTTCCCTTTTACTTTAATATGAAGACTTCTGAACTTCAGTGGCTACCTAGGTTAGCTGGTTGGTTTGTTTTTTAAATGTCTGGGCTGGATTTGGGTCACAGTTTGCTGACTCCTGTTCCAGAGCATCAGCATGTATCCTGATTGGGCTCAGTCTTCCCAGGAAGACAGCTAGTGCTGCCAAAGAATTCTCTGCCTGCCCACTGCCACTAATATATTCATCCACAGCAGGGGTTCTCAACCTGGGGTACATGGAGCTATTGACAGATTTCAGGGGAGGGAGGTCCAGGAACTTGGATGAGGAAAAACATTACCTGTTTAACATTACTAATTTGTAAGTGAAATTTAACATTTCCTTCAATTATTTTAAAAAACATTCTTCTGAGAAGGACATCACTGGGTGTCCCAAAGGGTCCATGACCAGCAAAATGTTAAGGACCCCAAATCTGGAGTATGCTCTTCTACTTCCCTGGACCAAAAGAAAAAGAATCAATTTCCAACCCAGACTCTAAGAACAACTATGTAGTCAGAAACCTGGATTTCCCAAGTTCAGAGAATCACAGCACTTAGAGAGCTGAATGAGATCTTATGGATTAGGACAAAACATTTCATTTTACAGATGAAAGAAACTGAAACTCAGAAGAATGGAAATGATTTGACCAAGGTCACATAAGTAGTAAGCAACTGAGCTGAGATTTGAACTAAAAAGTCCCCTAACTCTAATTTTGACACTTTCCATTACCAGTTCAGTGGTTTGACTCCATTTTTCTCTACAGCTCAACCTAAGCGATTGACACTTAAGACTTCCTCTCACCCCTTATCAAGCAACTAGGTAAAAACCAAAACATGCTCATGTGACACTGTATCCATGAGAGCTTTGAAGGTGAAAATGCCAATTAGTAAAAAAGATTTATTTCTCTGATCATAAGAAATGGACCTGCCAGTATATGGTCCAGAAGGGGCCGAAGGACTGGAGGTTGTACATTATACACAGAGGGGATGGTAACTCATTACACTTGAATGATATCATGATGAACTCAAAGAGAACTGATGTCCCTCCTCAGTGCCCAGCTAACAACCAACTCTGACTAACTGAAATCTGGGACTTCCTGCAATATCGTCAGGATCCTGCTGCCATCACTTTGATTGTGCTTGGGTCCATCTATTTAAGCTCAATGAGAAACAGTCATTAAAAAGCATGTTTGTGTGTTTGTGTGTGTGAGTGTATGTTTGTGTGTAAGTATGATGGAGCATCATGGGATCAAATGGGATCCAAATATACTATAAAATTCTCCAAATGAGACCCTGTCTGAGTTCTACCTTCTACTAATTTCAATGGGACCAGTTCATTGCCCAAACACAGCAGCTATCCAATCAACAAGCATTTATTAAGTGTCCACTGTGGGTCAGTCACTAATAAGCGCACAAAGATGGCCTAAGTTAGTAGGTTGTCCATCCAATTGCATGGCAGGATCTGGGCAGTCCCCATTTTTTATCCACTTTGTTTTTCCAAAGCTAGACTCATCTCTTTCTTACATAAGAGAAATGAGATAAAAGATACCATCATCAAGTTTCCTACAAAGGAGGATTCAACAATGGGGAGGACATATGATATAACAAAAAAACACTCTGGGGTAAAAAACAGAAGGCATCAGAATAAAACTACATTTTGAAAAATATATTATCGAGGACATTATGCTAACTAAAAAAGCAAACTGGTTACATTATGAGAGGGCAGGATGGATAGCCAGCCTTCAGTGCATTGGCTGGGTCCTCTAGAAAAATGCTGCAGAAGGCATGGACAGGAACCGTACAGAATGAGAAGGCCTGACCTGACTCTCTTCAAGTCCAGCATCAATGGAAGGAATATCCTTGTCCGTCCAATGTGGCAAAGCTGCTCTCTGGGCTGTAGTTGTTCTTGTCTTCTTTATGGTCTCCCTGAAGTACATTCAAATTTGAGTTTGCCATGTGAAAAGAGCTGGCTCTAGAATAAGTGGACTTGGCTTCAAATCTCACCTCTGGTGCTTATTGCCTGTGTGACCTTAGGCAAGTCACTCACTCTTCCTGGGCTTTGGTTTCCTCATGGATAGAATGAGGAGGCTGGACCAAGTAGATTCCAAGGTCCGTCCTGGCTCTAGATCTGTGCTTTAGCATGCAATGGGATGCACTGAAGTGCTATGGACATCCATCCATTAGGAGCAGTCTCCAATCTGCTCTGGATCCATGCCCTGGTACAGAGGATGGGACAGGTACCAAGTGGGATAAGTACAAAATAATGTTTGATGAATTGGGCAAGAAAGCTAGCTAACGGCAAGATAAAATATCTGTTACATGCAGACTCAGCTACACAAGCAAAGTTGGCCCAAAGAGAAGATAATCTGCACTGAGGAAGACTGCCCTGTGTCCCTACAGTATGTTCCCCAGAGGGTCCAGACCCCATCCTCAGAGATGAATTTGTAGAGGCTTCTGCTCTTCTTAAACTCCTGACATGGCACAGGCAGCCAAAACCAAAATACCAAGACCAACAAGTCAGTGCTTTGAGAAATCAAGAAAGCAGGAAGGTCCCTGGCATTGCCGTGAATTTTGACTTCTCAGTCTCGAGTTTTTGGTTTAAACTTATTTTCTCCATCCAACTGAGGAAGCCCCACTCTTTGGGAAGCCCTTTCCTAAGTTATGGAGTGTAAGACGATAAAGTGGTGGAAGTTACAGAACAACAAAAACAAAGGACAGGAATAGCTTTTATTCAAAATGGTCATGTAACAAGTAACAAGCCATCCTGCACATGGGCATTTTTCAGATAGCTGAAGATGCTGTTTTTGGAGGCAAGACTTGTGGGGTCATGGCTATAGGAACCTTCTGGTATGAGAACTTCTTCCACTGACGAAGCTTATGAAGTCATCTACAATTTAAAGCTGGAAAGAGCTGCCTTGGATAGGGAATTGTTCAGTGAGTTGCCCATGGTTATGTATGTATGGAAAAATGCCATAGTTAATGCATATCAGAGGCAGGATCTGAACTCAGGTCTCCCTGTCCTGACAGAGGCAAGGCCTCTACCCACACTGCCTTCCTCTCATAACTGAACTGACTCCTCTTTTAAGTCCCTTTTCAATACTGTGATTTCATTGGTCGGGGCTGTGTCTCCTTGAGTGTGGATCAAAATTCCTCCAGGCTTTAGAAGATAGTCACAAATCTCTGGCACCTTCTGGACAGGGCCCTTTCCAGGCCAAAACTGTATTCTTATTTTCAGTAGAACTCTGCCTAAAATACACAATACTTATCTAACAGTATATGCTAAGCACACTTTAGCCCTGTCATGACAACTCTGCATCATTATTCTAACCCTCAAATATTAGACAGCACAATTATTTGTGACCGTCCTGTGCATCCGCTATAATAGAAACCAATGATTCCCTCAAGGACCACCAGGGGGAGTATATTAAGCATCCGTTATCACTGATTGCTTTTTATCGTTATTCTGTCTCTCCGTTTGAAAGTCACAGAGCTGCAGGCTCTCAGAGGCCTACCTTTAACAGTATCCCTGCCCTCTGAGGCCCAATGGAAGCACTGAGAAGCAGCTCTGTCTAATCAGTCAACAGGCCAAGGAGTAGATCTGATGACCAAATTAAGGAATATTGGTTGTTGTTATACACACACACACACACACACACACACACACACGCACGCACACATATGATCCATGCATAGAAACACATGTACATCAAGCACATAGCTCTTGTCACTCAAGAGTCCTTTTCCTGTCACTTCTAAAGAAGACAGATGGTTTAGTTTTCTGTAAGTTTGACTTTTAGGAAAATAAGAGATTACTACTTTTTACCCTAGTTCTTTTTGTTCTTACCCATTCTGCTATATCACAGGTGTTATGTGGTCCTACGGGAGAGGGATGAGAGAAGGAGAAAAAGAGGGAGGGAGGGAAGGAGAGAGGGAGGGAAGAGGTGAGTGAAGGAAGAAGAAAGGAAGGAAGGGAGAGAAGGAGTGAGGAAGGAAGGGAGGGAGGGAGGAAGGTAATATAGTCCTAAGAAAATATAGCACTACACAGATATTTGTCTGTGGGCTCATGGCTATGAGGGCCCTAAAGAATACAATGCAGCACACAGGTCAAATCCCTCTCCCAATTAAGGGCTGGGAGAGGTCACATTACTCAAGTCTTGTTCAAATACTGTCTCAGTTATCATGTTGTCTGAGAGCAGTGACACCCCCGTCCTCCCCCTCTACCCCCGCCCCGGACATCATAACAAAGCTTAACTGAATAAGTACTAATATAATCTTAGATTTATATGGTAGTTTCTCCCAAGGAGCATATAGTGCCTTGCTCCCAAGGAGCTATTTTAAATTGGCTACATTACCATACTGGTATTTCTTATGCCTACAATTAAGTCTCAAAGACATCAAATTGATTAAGGGAAACTGGCAGGAGACAGCCCGGATTCTCGTTCCCATATCTGATTTACCCACGTGCCAAGCCCCGGCTCTGGGAGGATCTAACCAACTCACAGGTCTCGGTACTGGTCAAAGGCATTGTTGGCTTCTACCTCCAGCTTACGCAGGCGAGCAGATGGCATGGCCCCATCTTCCAATGGAGGGTCATACCTGTTGCTCCAAGGTGACCTGCAGGGAGAACAACACAAGGACAAGCTCACATCAATCAGTCTTTGCTAGAAACAAAGCCCTGGAACAGCAGAGCCAAGCCCAAAGCTGACGATACCAGGAAGTATGCCATGACTCATCGTTAAATAACTGTGGGGACCGTGGCAACAAATACCTCTGGTGGGATATTCTCAGATAATTCACACAACACAGACACTAGAAACACTTGTTTATGGAGTTTGCCCCTTGATTTGGTGACAATGGAAGAGAAAAGGCCAGTTGTAAGACTGGTTATAAGAACTGAAGATTGACATTACTTAGCCAAGAGGACATTTGGAAAAGAGAAAGATTCAAGTATCTGAATGGCTGTCCTGTGACAGAGGGATTGGACTCATCTTGTATGGTCTCAGCAAGAACCAGAGACAAAGGGTACAAGTAACAGAGAGGTAGCACTCAGCCTCATGTGCAGACAGACTTCCTAACTAGGAGAGCCCTTCAAAACCAACAGCCTGCCTCCCTCTTCCAGAGTCCCTTCCTCCAGCAGATGTTCCAGCAAAGAGAAGGCCAAGTCACTGGTCAGACATGCTGTTAAGGGGTTCTTAGTCAGGTATGGATCAGGACTGGTACCTTACAAAGTCCTTTTCTACTCTGAGATTCAGTCATAAACGGTATCCCTGTGGAGGGTAAGGTAATGTAACACAAATTCCTTCATGCATAATCTTAAATGTGCTTTGAAGCATTCTAATTGGTCAGATGACCGAGGTGGGGAGTAGATGGGGTAAGGTGTTTAGGTGGAGAAGCAGCTTGGCCTTTCCCAAAGCAAAGGATTAGGCAGCGTCTGAACAACTCTATTACGACCGTTGTTGAGTCATTTCAGTCATGTCCAACTTCTCATGACCCCCATTTGAGGTTTTCTTGGCAGAGATACTGGAATAGTTTGTCATTTCCTTCTCCAGCTCATTTTACAGATGAGGAAACTGAGGCAAACAGGGTTAAATGACTTGCTCAGGGTCACACCGCTAGTAAGTGTCCAAGGCCAGATTTGAACTCAGGTACTCCTTACTCCAGGCCTGGCACTCTAACCACTGGGCCACCTACCTGCCCCCTATTACTACCTTAGCAATGCATAACTTCATCAGTGTGGGGACACTGATATCCCTCCCTGCTGCAGACTAAAATTTTTTCAGAATACTAATAACAATGAGCAACAGTCATGGAAGTATCTACAAAGTGGTCTTCTGACATTATCTCATTTGAGCTTCACAATCATCTCATGAGGTTTAGCCTCATTTTATAGATGAGGAAACAGATTCAGAGAGGGAAAAAGATCTGTGCAGGGTCACACACCTAGTCACATGAAAATGGTGGGAACAGATTTCAGGTCTTCCTGGCCCCAGATTCAGCATCTTGTCTAATGCTTAAATGCAGTCTTAGAGAGTTGCTGTGGTTAAAAAAAAAAACAAACCAAAAAACCAAAACCCCATCCCCTAGTAGCCCAGTTGGTGATAAACCTCTCCAAATTCAGGTCAAGTGGTCCTCAGAAGAGGTACATAGTCCAGCTTTCCAAGCCTTTCAGTGTAGTAAGGCCTGTAGGAGCTTGCATAGGAATGAGAACCCAAGATCATCTCCAAACCACAATGAGACATCAGGGCAGACTTTAATAGAGGTATTAAAATCATCATTATCATCCAAAATTAATTCATTAAGGCCTACTCCAATGTTTCTTCATGATACGGAGGTGACTTTGGGTTTCTTAAGTCTACACCATCAGTACAAGTTATGACAAAGTGCTCCTAAGCTGGAAAGGCTCCGAGTATGTCCTAGAAAAGGATTGTCCAAAGACTAGACAAGATCGCTGCAAGACTTGTGGCTAGAAGGCTGGCTATCATGGGATGACTTTTCTTTGGCCAGAGCAATGCATGAGCTATTTACTGCGGCAGAGAGGGATCTCTGGTTCACATAAAGGTTGAGGGATGAAAATGTACCAGCATAATCACAGATGAACAGAGGCTGCTTCTCCTGGCCATCCCAAGGGCTCCCAGCCCTCTGAATGCCAGGCATATAAAATCTGTTAAGTAATGAGAACCAGCTTCTCTTCAACACAAATACTAGCTAGGATATATTTTTTTTCCTTTTAAATGCATTTTGCCACATCAGGAAAACATTTAATCACAGAGAAAGGCTTGAAAGAGAACTGTAAGCTGAGGACCTACTCATTAATTCTTGCAGGTGGGATTCAGTGGGCTGGGTTTTCAGAGAAAGGAATAGTATTAAAAAATAAAGGGGGAGGGGAGAGAAGGGTAGGGAGGGTAGTACAGAGACTATACAAGAAAAGAGCCATTTACCCTCCCCTCAGGTTTCAAAATCTTACCGTTCCCATGGTATGCAACCCACACTAACTCTCTTATTTCCCCTGCGTACAACAACTCTTCAAACATCTTGCTGGATTTCTAGATGCCCTTGATTTCTGCTTTAGGACTGTTTGTTAAGAACAACAGCAGCAGCAGCATCAGTCCTCTGAGTCTGTCAATCTTCATTGTGCTCCTTCACACACAAGAACCTTTTCCCCAGCAGCCAAGGGCTACGCCATATTCTGGGAGCCAACGAACGCATTTTCATAGCCAATTCTAAGCATAAAGGTAACTAAGTTGGTTTTAAGCTTCCCCTGAATTTGTTGGCAATGGAAGATGGGGTGGTGGTGGGGAGAAGTAACCACATTTGGCATCTAGACAGGTGAGAGCACGGCTCTTCGGGCGGCAGCCCCCACAGCTTGACCAAAAGCAGCTGGGCCCTTTGGAACCTATTACTTACAAGGAGATCATTTTCTCTACTTACCGCAATGCTGGTTCAGATTTTGCAAAAATCAAAGCAAAACAGAAGAATAAGAAAGAAGGCTCCCCCCTCACCGTCCCCTGGCTAACCAGATGTAGGTTTTACGCCCCTCTTGGTGGTTAGGGCGAACACCAAAGAAATCACTGCAGAGAGCTACAGACAACAGCACAAGGAACCCCCAAAGAGGAAGCAAGGCAGGTATGTAGACAACCTCTAGCCTGCCTACGTGTTCATCTGAAGTTATTGTACTCCAGATCAATTCTGAATTAAGCACCTACTATGTACCAAGCACTGGGTTTAGACATGAGAGGAGGTAAAATAACAAAAGGTTCCTCCCTTTAAGGAATGAAGAATCCATCTCTGACCCTATTCTGTGTGAGAGAGCTAAGATGAAGTTTGGGAACTCTAAAATATAGATTGGAAATTGATGAACAGGTGAAAGGGGGAAGCACTGAAAAGAGAAGGCAGCATAGTGGAAGTGGAAAAACGAAACCCTTGAGAACAGAAGACCTGAGGGTGAGCTCCAGCTTGGACACTTACTAGCTGGGTGAGCCTCACCTTTGGGAGTCCATTTCCTCACCTGTCAAGTGGAATGATAATACTTTACACATCCCACCCTCCACCAGGGGTTGTGAAGAAATTGCTTTAAAAGACTTAAAGTATTACAGAAATAGGAATTTATTGTAGAAACCATTCTGTACTCTACCAGCCCAAATATTAGCAAGAAGACAGAATGGGGTAGGGAATAGGGAGCAGAGCAAATCTACATATGAGTGCAATTAATTCTAAAAAGCACCAAAGGCAAATGTTCACAGTGGGGGTTGAGGTGGAGAAAAGTAGGAAATGAAGAGACAATCTTTTTGTCCCACTGGAAGCCCTCAGGAGACATCCTGGAATTCTAAGTTAGTCACTCTTGTAATGAACCTGGAGATAGAGATGGCAAATGTTTCCCCTGTTGAGTGATATTTAAAACAAACATTTAAACACCAAACCAAACAAAGATCATCTCCTTTCCCCAAATTTCAGAAGAGAAACAGCAGCAGGTGAGGTTGTCCCAACAACTACCTGAGTACAGGCAAGCAAAGGTGGGATGGTGGGGTGTATGCAGAAAGCACAGCCCATCTCTGAAAAGAATGAGCATTGTGTGACAGACTTCTCTGAGCCTCTTACTCCACAAAACAACAGTGACTATTTATGTAGGACTTTAAGGCTTGCAAAGTGCTTTACAAATATCTCATGTGAGCTCCATAACAGGCCTTGAAAGTGGGTACTATATTATGATGTCCATTTTACAGATGAGGAAACTGAGACAGATAAAAGTCAGGTGATTTGTCCAGGATCACACACCTAATGTCTGATGACTCCAGACCCAGCACTCCACACTAGATCAGGCTGCTTGCCTAAAATGAGAGGACAGGACTAGAAGGTTCTCAGGGGGCTGAAAGCTCTGTGTCTGTGCCTGAACCCAAGCCATTTTCCCTCACTAAAGGCAGGTCTGAGATGCCATTTGCTGCTCTTCCAGATACATCCTTTGTGGACGTTATTCTAGGCAGACACACAAACATTTTCTTCATATCTAGGTAGGTGCTATTATTATCTCCATTTTTCAGAGGGAAACTAAGGGAGACAGAGGTTAAGTGACTTGGTCAGGGTCACACCCACTAGATCGGAACTCAGGATTTCCTGACTCCAGGCCCAGTGCTCTAGCCACTGAGCCATCTGGCTGCCTCTATTTTATAGAGGAGATATTAAAGACTCAAGAAGGGAAATTACTCCCTTATAGTACAACACAAAGAAAAAAGGCAAGGCCACAGCCTGGGTTGGTCCTCCAAATTTCCAGCAGCGTTCTATCCACTACACTCCTGTGCTCTCTTCTGATTCCTGAGGCAGGCAGGAAAACGGTGAGGATCCCAAATGGGTTTTGTTTAAAGAAGGTTTGATCAGACAGAGATGATCCAATCTCTTTTGCAGACAGTGAGCCTGGAATTTTTAAGAAACCTGTAACTTACATTTCTCCTGGCTCAGAGACCAGGACATTTCAAGCCTCTATTCCTGGAGCCAGGCATAATTGGAGCTTGGGAAAAAAAATCTTAACACTACCCCAAATATTTTTAGTGGAAGGGGCACTCTGCACACATTTAAGAGCTTAAATGGAGGCTGTTTGAAACAAGACAGATGGACAAGAGCTC